ATGGCTAACCAAACAAATCCTCTTCTCGGAGCTGGCATCTGGCAAGTGACCACGTGGTGATCCTCGTTGACGATTCAAGGATCAGCTCAAATACAGCTTGCTGATAAGAGGAAATCGTTCTGATCAATTGGGAGATGGAAGCTGCAGAAAGTGCCAATTGGAGAAGTGAAGTCCACGAAAAAAATCATCCTACTTAAACACCAGAAGACAAATGGAAGAAACGAAGGGAACCCAAAGGGAAGACTTAGCTCTCAGTATAAGAACCATCCTAACCTCCCATGTGGACGTCGCTTCAGATCCAACATAGGAAATTTTCGATGAGCATCTGATTATATATATATATATATATATATATATATATATATATATATATATATAGGTTGTCCATTAAGTTCGTGTGCACTTAAAAAAAATTATAACTTTATTTGTATTTGCGATAAAAATAAGTAGTAAAAAGGATTAGAAAGAAGTAGATCTATATTTTTTAAGGTTTTACTGAAATATTATTTAAGTTTCCACATGTCCTCCATCATTAGCAATACAAAGGGTAATACGCTGGAAAAAAGAAAATATTTTTTTACTTACCTAAAAATTGTTGCAAATTTTGTGGTAAAGAATTATTCAATAACTACACTTAAAATTAGGTACATTAAACTTTATAACATTTTTTACAGATTGTTTCTATCGCTAATACAAATAAAGTTATAATTTTTTAAAGTGCACACGAACCTTATGGACACCCTGTATATATATATATATATATGTGTGTGTGTTTGCGCACGTGTGTGTGTGTTGTGTGTTGTGTGTTTGTGTGTGCGCATTGATATACATGGAAAGAACTGTTAGAGTGCTGATCCGAAGTTTTTTTATTATTTTGTTTTTATATTTAAAAAAAAACAGCTCTCGATACAGAAGGAGAGCTTAAATTATAATTAATTTATTAATATTTTTAGGATGAAATTGTCATCCAACAGTTAAGGTTCAATATTGAAATTAAACTTGAATACGGATTGCGAGCTTCCAGTAATTTCTGTATAGCGATGGAATTATATATATATATATATATATATATATATATATATATATATATATATATATATATATATGTAAATGGTGGTACTCACTTGGAAAATCCTTGGATATTTCGACTAGTAAAACAAACCAGTACCCAGGGAAAAATGAGGAATAAAAAAAGAAAGAACCAAGAACACGAAACAAAGGCGAAAACAATCGTCCAGAGTTCAAGCTCAAAATCCCAAGAAAAATACTAACTCCAAAACGAGTAAAAGCAACTACGTAAAGTGCTCAATACACGAAGTAGAGCAAACCTACGATAAACCTTAATAAAGATTTAGTTTTGCCTGGCTCATTAGGTTTACCTTTACGAATTCCTCGTAGTAAGTCAGTATATGTATGGAGGGGAAATATACGCACGCATATATACACGCATGCTGACAGAAACGCACCAAAATGGAAACAGATCCAAGAGCACATAGGGGTCAGTAAAACATTAAAAGATAAAATGCCGATAACTAATTTATCACCTCGCTGGACCAACCTTAATTGTTTTACTGACCCTTCGCGCAGAACTCTTCATTGCCAATTCAAGAAAGAAATTCGGATTACCAACACACAAACAGAGAATGTCTCATATCGAGAATATTTAACATTGAACATAAGGAAAAATTAATTATTTTTAATAATATGTGGAAATCTCCACTTTTATCTGAAGACGGTCATGAGACCAGAAACACGTGTCGTAAAATTATGTAAAAAAAAAGCATAATATTTTTTTCTAAATGAATCCACATTATAACCCAAAACGTTTGCGGAACCTCTCTTCTCTTCTTTTTTTATATATATATATATATATATATATATATATATATATATATATATATATATATATATTAAAAAGAATATATATATATATATATTAAAAAGAAGAGATTAATATATATATATATATATATATATATATATATATATATATATATATATATATATATTAAAAAGAAGAGAAGAGAGGTGTCGAAACGTTTGCGGCACCTCTCTTCTTCTTTTTAATATACACTCTTTTCTCTCGTTGGAACCACTATAACCTCTTTCTTGACCCAAGCCTTGTGGGTGGAATTGTTGTAGACGGGGCTATTTGGGAACCGTAGATATTTGTGCTAGCAATCGGTAAAAAGTTTTATCGTGAACGAGGGCTTGAGAGTACTGGCCTTGTTTAAACCTTCCGATCATGTTAGATTACGGAGTGGCTCCTAGAAACATTTTCCTATTTTCGACACATCATATATGTCGTATAAAACAACAGATGGACTATGTGTAGTTAACAAAGCCAAATGTTACTGGGCAACAGGGATTTGTTAGCCGGGAAATAATGAGGGTAAGAGAGGCGGATGAAAAAGCAAGTAAGCTACATAACGAGCTTGTGATAAATGAAAGACAGAACAGGTAGTTGAGCGATTATAAAAAAGAGCTACAAACGATGGGAATTTTAGAGAGTCATGATCGACCCTTACGTCAAAGGATGCGGCACATAAAATTATGAAGAGGTTAATATTGGTAAATTATATTTGAGTCTATAAGCATGTACTTGGTTAGTTCAAATAC